CCTTGAATAGTAGCCTGTACTAAAGGGTGTGCTCTGTTCTTGTCAAAATCTGGATATATGTCTTGAACAAAGTGTCTAAGGCTAGTGAGGTATTTTGGGCCCAATGTGATGAACTTTGACATGAATGCAATATATTGAGTAAGAGTCTGTGGTGTCAGATTAATAGAAATGTTATGATTAATACAAAAATTAACATAGTCATATCTTTCCATTTCATAACCACTTGCTGTAGATTTCTTAATTGCTTTAACTTGGAGGTGGAGTGTGAGAGCATCAAGGTTCTTTAACCTTATAGAGGGGGCAAATCATCAATGACAATGATCTGCCCAATGTGCTCAAAAGCACTCCCTACATTGCACTGGCAAAAGTTCCCAAGGAGGCTCAAATATGTGGACATGGTCAGCTGGAAATTTTTGTCAATATTTGGTGAAGAGGAGACATGATAGTAGATTGGCCCAAATGTTATTCTTTACAGCAATATGACAGACTCTGAGATCAATCCCAGTTTAGATAATGATGCCAGCTATAGCATGAACAGCGAAGTTATGAAGAGACTCAGAGGTGGCTAATGAGTTGAAAACTGTGACTGAATCTAGACTGTCAGTAAAAATGAGAAGTCGACATGGAGGTTGAGAAAATGATGCAATATGGTGAACAGCAGAGATGGCGATAAGTTTAAAGAAAAAGATGTCAATCTTAGTGGATGTATCATGACATGTAATCTGGTATGTGAATTTATTGCCTGCATAGACAAATGCCATTCCTAATTTGAGATTAGCATCAGTCTAAAAAACCATGTTTGCTAATGCATTTTTTCAATGCATAGCATCTACAAAACATTTACCAATTGCTTTTAGAATGATTTTGAGGAGCCATTCTATATCAGAAACTACTTTTCTATTGAGATAGATGCTGGCATGCATTGTGTCTTTGCCTGCCATTTTTCAGTACATCTCTGTAAAGGCAGGCTGACCTAATGGAAGAACATTCAATATCCAGTTCAGGTGGCCAGCTAATCTTTGCCATGCACTGTAAGGGGATCAGCCATCCATGGAAACCATAGCCACCACCCACCACTCAGCCCCCTTTCCTAGGAGGTGGTGAGCAGCAGGTGAACTAGGCACCAGGGCACTGGTGAGCCTAAGGTGGGCAGCAAGTGAGAGGTGTAGAGGTGAGAGCGAGCAGGAGCTGAGGCTGTCACTGGAGGCACTCACAGTCATGTTGATGTTAGATCTAAAGATGCTGTTATTGACAGGACTGGGAATGTATCATGCCCCAGTCCATCCTATTATACTATGTTGGCTAGTACTGTGACTAATCTCTATATGCTAAGTAGGTGCTGACTATGAGCTATTGGCTAAGTGGGCTAGTATGTATTAGTAATGTGTAATTGTCAACTATCAGCTGATGTACTAGGCTTACTGAGCATGCCAATGCTGAGAGTGCTGACATGAGCCAGACTTACCAAGCAGGGCTTGGCAGAGGCTGTGCTAGTGACATAGGATGGCTGTGAGGCCAGCTGACCCAAGTGGTGGAGAAGATATTGATGGAAGGTGTCAGGATAGGGCTGGGCAGCCCAGAAGACAGCTAGAGTTGCCTGAGAAGGCAATGCTGAAGATCCAGGGCTAAGCTGAGCTAGAGATGGATGGTCTGGAGACCAGTCCTCTGACATGCATGAAGCAATGGACAACATGATGAAGTCTCAATGAATGCTTTAACTTTTGATGTAATGTTAGTGATGGAGTCATTAGTGAGGGAGATGGAACCCACATTAATATTGACCCATAATCCAATGATCTTCAATTTCTTGCTGAACTTCTGTTTTTTCTCTTTCTATGGACACCCAAGTTTGCTGCCTTGTCCCATGACAAAAAATCATCTATAAAAACATGTAGATCAGTTATCGTGAGCTTCTTGATCTCCAACCAACACATGAGGCCTGACACCATGCACCAGCAACATGGTAAAGCCCAATTGCTAAAGACCAGATAGTGAACTATACCAGATTCCTCCAACATCAACAGCTTGATGTAATTGCCATAGTGGGTGTGCTGGAAGATTTAAAAAGGCACTAGCTACATCCGACTGTCAAGATACTAAAATGTCATGCAGAAATTTTTGCTTAGTGTTGTAGAGAGTTTGTCCAAAGGTGCACATATCATTGTATTTAACTTTTGCTTCACTCTTCAGAATGTCATTGTTCAACCCCAATGCCAGATGGTCCATGACAATGCAAGCTTTATTCTTTTGCCATACCACAAACAACAGAGATGCTTTCATGCCTGGTAAAAGATCTTTCAAATCTAAGGCCTTAGACCAACGCTCTGCTCCAATCTCCTTATTCTTAAACACTCATATAGCATTGAGATCACAGTCAGATGTAGCATAATTATGAAGCCACTCTTTATTGTCAAGTGGCTAGTCACCTTTATCAAAAGGTCAGAATCCCTCATGAAGATCTCTCATAACTGATTTAATAAACAGCTGATTTGGGTAGTTCTACAGCATGCTCTCAAATCTATTGACATTGAATGGAGTTTCAACCTTAATATTCTTCTTCATTGTATTGAGATGGCTTGGAAAACTGGATTATTTATAAGGTGTTCCAGAGGCAAAGTTAGCAGATGAGCTGTCTCAGTCTTTAGAGCTGATGGCGATGCAGGTGACAAGTTTGAGTTGTTATGCCATACAAATCTCTGCTGATATCTAAGTTCAATATGATCATTCAGGTCTAATGGCCTTTTAGCACTCAATAATTTTAAAGATTGGGGTTCTTGTGATTGCTTTTCATTAAGCTTGTGAAATACCATTACTATTCCCTCTGTACTGCTGGTGTCTGAACTTGAGCTTGGCAAGACATTCTTTGCTGTCTTTAGCTTTCTGCTTCCCATGGCATTTGCTATTGATGTTGTGCCTGCAACTGTTTAGGCAAGGATTGACCAAACAGTAGCCCAGATTCCAGTTTGAACATATTATAGTTGTCCATTTCCAAGCACTGTCTTGAGAAAAAGAACCAGTCCTCTTAGTGCCAGATAAAACTGATGAGAAAAGCTGAGCAAGGAAAGGAATATGAAGCTTGTTATCTTCATCCATTCTAAATAGGTTCCTAGCATAATGATCTCTAGTGTCTGCATCAAAATGTATTGCAACTGCAGCACTATTTGGAATAGAGTAGCAAAGATCCACAATTTTGCTTCTATAGACTTGTAGCTTTTCATCTTGATGAAAGTAGAAAAGGAGAACAGCTGCTATCCATGCCTCAAAAGTACAAGTCCAATCTGATTTTGAACAGATGGTGCACTTAGCTATAGCATGATCCTTCTTAATCAATGAGAAACCTCCACCAAAATCTTTCAGCTCATCTTGATGATCATACTCTTTCTCCAATGTCACATAGAGCTTCTCAAAATTAATATAGTGATTGAGGATGACAAGCTTTCACATAGCTCTCGAGATCAGATCTTTAAGAGGCTGAGATTGCCCAAGACTGATAAGGAAATCAATGACTTTCTCATGCAAATATTCTTGACACAGTTTTCATGTCTTTGCAATATGAGGATCAATAGTAATCTTGGATCGCAAATTGGCAAGGTGAGGAGTGGCCTCAAGAACAGATCATGGTAAGGAAGAGAATTCAGCCATATCCCTGGTCTCACCAAAGAGTTTAGCAAATTGCTCAAAGGTAAGAGCATTCAAAGGTGCAACTGGTTTTTTGATTTGGTCCAGCTTTGCCTGCAATGCAGCCTAGGCCACAGTTTTCACAGCTTCTTGCTGCACCCTCTCTTGTTCAACAACTCTAGCCTCATGTTTTCTTCTGAAGGTGTCAGCTTGTCCATCAGTGGGATTGTCCAGAGTGTGCTCACATGATGAAGCATCAGGCTCAGAATCCTTTCCTTTTTGCAACTCAATTCGCTGTCAAACTTTGTCAAAATAATCTGTGTCCTCAGCTAAACTAAGACCAAGGTTTTGCAGCTTTTTTACAAAGTCATCAAACATATGTTTACCATCAACAGTATCATCAACAAGCTTCTGACATGCTTCAGCGCATGCATGAAGCTGTTCAACTTCAATATCATCCTCAGCATGCTGTGTTATATGAAAAGATATTTGATGACAAGTTACAGAGTAGATATTTCATGAAAGACAGTACACTAAGAAATGAATTGAGTCTAAAATAATGAGAGAACTTGTGAGCTAGCTGTTTGCAAAGCACAATGTGCACTTGGCTTATAAAGTGAGAGAACTTGCTCATATAAGAAATGATCCTAATGATGCAAGTTCAATGATGTCTGTGGTAAGAGATGAGTTGCCAGCTCATTGCAATGGTAGGATAATGAGAGTCCTACCTTGTAGAGCAGTGCTGTCTCAAGAAATATGAAAATAACAATATCGATGACACTACTCTGCAAGGGACAAATTTAATATCTTAACATAGTGAGAGAGCACCTGTACAGCGACAGTGGTAGTGAGAGTGCAAAATATGCACAATGAGTTGTGAGACATATTGGCCCTACTGTTCTCAGCCCAGCATCTGCCAATCACTGGCACTGGACCAAAAACAGCCATAAATCTGCATGAAGTTGGGATTGTATGAAGATGGATATGGTGTGCTTGTTGTGCAGAGGCCTCTGAAAATGCTCCTTACTTTTGAAACTCGCATTTACATTGATTATTGCTTGACATCTAATATCTACAAGATTACAGAATGTTAATAAAATTTTGCTATGATACTTAATACCAGTGCTAGCAGATCTTGCAATTGTTGTTCTTCTCTTGATGTTCCAACTTGCATCATAATGTTAACCTTGATTATAGCATGACCCTGCAATGTGACTTTACTATGCACCACTAGTGTCTATTAATCAACCAAACTGTTATCCAGATTAAGGTGTGACAATTTCAAACTCCGCTCAGTATTAAAGGACTGCTATCCAATATTTTCGGGGAGATAGTCTGGGTGATGAACAGGCAAAAAAAAAACTATCTGGTAAGACAAAAAAGGGCCCAACCGGGAATTGAACCCGGGGCCACCTCCAATGCGCTTGCAGACGCAAGTGGGATGAGATCCCGAAGGAGGTATCATACTACTAGACCATTGGGCCGATGGGAAGGAACACGTAATCTGGTCAGACATGATGGCGGCTGGGAATTTGCGAGCCTTAAGGGTCACAAAGTGGGAGTGAGCAAGAAGCGTTCGAATGAGGTTCAGCTTTTTCGCCTCAAAACACCCTACTCCGACGTCCTTCCTCAGGCCTCAGGAATCTCCCCTTTCGATTCGATTCCCAAACTCCTCCCCAATTATCTTCCCTCTTACAAATCCCTGAAAAGTGGGGCAAAAATTCTAACAATGATTCCGTTATCACGCTCATCGAATCGGCCTCCCATGCCGCCCATTCGCCCGAAGTCATCAATTGGATTTTGTTCTATGTCAAATCATCAGTCCCACTTTTCATCTGTTGATAGGGCTCGTGGTAAGATGCAGACGCAGCGTCGTATTTGTAGATAATATATAATACAGGTGGTTAGCACAACCTCAAAGCACAAAAAGAAATTGAACGATAACACAAACTCAACCAATCGCCATGTCCGTTACATCAGAAAGTTCTGAAACACCAGACGGTTGAGTACCTTTGAGGCGCATTGAGAATATAACATCCTTGATGACCTGTGAAATAAGTCCATGCTGCGCCTCAACGGCAATCTTTGTACTGCAATGCGGTTGTCAAGTCAAGGTCAATTCAATGGAAGAGAATAGTAATAAGTACCTATCCTTTACGCTTTTCGCGAGCTGGTTCTCCTCCTTTTTCTTCTCCTCCTTTTCCTTTCCCTACGCGTCAAGTTCGTGTCAGAGGAATACGTGACGAATCGAAGTGAGTGTGCCCAACCTTAACATTGCCGTCTTTATCTTTCATAGATGGAACGGGAGCTCGCGTCGAGCCGACAGCTGACTGCGCCTTTGAGAGCTTTTGGTGTAGATCAGAAAGCTGAGAGACAGAGTATGCTTTATTCTACACCCAAAATCAACTCAGTGTCTTGTTGAGGAGGAAGGGAGCAGACCATACCGAAATCAGGGGGCTTGAACTAAGGGTGTTCACCCAGTACTTGTTCCAAAGCATCGCAAGTAGCTCATTATCAAGACTCGACTTGAATATCTCCACGTCCACCTGGTAGTACTGGTTGGCGTGGACACCAAAATCTTCGATCTTATTCAAAGGAATGGATTGATATTGAGACGCAGCGACGTTCAGGGGAGTGTAGCCTTCTGGATATGTTCGGAACGCGCCAATGTCGACTTTGCCGGCAGAGATAGTGCGATTTGGGTCGATCTAAGGAATGTTGGACAATGGTGCAGAACTGAGAATCCAGGGAACTCACGACGACTGCAACGAACGGATCTTGAAATTTCTGGTTGATGATTTGTGTATTGACATCGATGCCCGATAACCAGCAGCCGTATCCGGGGTGAGAGTGATACCACCCAATTGCGTTTTCAAGCCGACCAGCCTAAGGCAGCAACAGCTCATGTAGCGAGAAAGGAAAGCTTCTTTAGGAAAACAGACTCACCTTCTCACTGTTCTGGATATATTCCACCATGTACTCGTTGGCCTCATTCGCTGCGCTTACACGCGTCTCGGTTCCCTGTACCGGGAGAGCGAAGGAATCCATGACCACAATAGTATTTCCAACCACCTTGCCCTGCATTAGGCCCATGATCTCATGCGGTACTCCCGAGCGCGCATGGATAACCTGTGGCAATCGTTCATCTTATACACAGTGGCGCGATCAGAACTTTGGACAACATACCATCTTGATTAGCGCGACAGCAGAGATCTTGCATGCTTTGAAGTAGTGTGGGCTTTAGAACACGTGGTGAGTCTCGCGAAAATGGGATGATAAGACTACAGGTGACGCACTCCTTTGTCCAGGGGGCCTCTTGATTGAGTTTTTTATTCGCCTGCGGATCGAAACGATAGATCTCATCTTGAGGTGATAATTCTATAATGTTGTTCGCGAGATTGAAATTTTTCTGCGCCGTGCTACTGGACGACGCCATGGAACGATTGAAGAGGAGAGTAAAGTTTGTGGGTGTTGTGCTGGTACGCGCGCTTAGCGCTTCGACTCGGCCCGCGTTCAGACTTTTCTCCAATTGCAACGAGCTCATTCACAACTTTCACAAGATATGATGGATACGTTATAATTTCTACAAGGGCTTGCGAACCCAAAATATGTAATTACAATCTGTAGCTACCCACGCATCCCGCGAGGCAAGCAACCACTTCGCCCGCAATGGATGATATATAAGACCTCGTACCTCCGCTTCCTCATGAGGCGGAGACTCAGGCGAAAATCGAGGTGAAATCCACGCTTTTGGTAATGTTGCGTGCTCAAGATATTGGGTATCCACGGAAGACGACCGGTATTTCTGGAAGAACGAAACGAGCTCGGTAGGTTTGACGTACTTGCTATACGTATGTGTTCCCCTAGAGACCTTGCGGAAGACGTTCTCGGCAAGGAAGATAGTGAGGAAGTAAGCGAGTGGTGTTCGTGATATGGTGGAAAGGAACAGATGGCCACCGGGCTAATCGAGTGCATTGTCTAGTCTTGGGTTAAGAAAGACACACGTTAAACTCACTTTGACCAGCTCAGCACATGTAGAAAGAAAAGTTGCAGGATGGTCGACGTGTTCAAGAACTTCCATGGAGCAGACAACGTCGTACCGTTTTGAGGACTTCAAGAGCGACTCTGCCGACGAGTGGAGGTAGGAAAGACGCTCGAGCTTCGGATCCGCCGATGCGTGTACTTGGGCAATCTTTATGTTCGACTCGGATGCGTCTATTCCTAGTGTGTTGGCCCCAAGACGTACGAGACTCTGGAGCAACGATAAGGACTCTCAAGGTTGGAAATTGATAAACATACTCACCTCGGACAAGAGACCACCACCACATCCGACGTCCAGTACATCCAAGCCGCGCAGACCTTTTGGTAGAGGGGCTTCTTCCCCCTCGTGTTCGCGCAATGACACCTCCGCCAACTTTTCCTGGATAAACTGGACGCGCGCAGGGTTCATTTTATGTAGGAACCCAAACTCTCCTTGCTCGTCCCACCACTGTGAAGAAAGACGCGAGAAATGAGCAATTTCTGAAGCATTTATTGTGCCATGGCTGGTTGAGGAGTGTGCATGTCGGTGGAGAGTGCGAATGACGTTGGAGAAACGCATGGTCACTCAGGGTGACACATCTGAATTTGTGACAAGTTATATACTATTGTAGCTATATAATAGGGATGTGTAAGAAATTGAAGCGAAGGCTACAGTTCAACATGAGTTTGTAGGTAAAAGGAGAATTAATGATAGTCAGCTCGGTCGAGAAATGTATTAGAATGTAGGAAGTTCGAAAAAAAGCTTGAAGACTGTCATACTGTCTCATACAATTGATTCTCGAGCGATTCCCGAACTAGTACTAGTCTCGGAATAGCTTCACCTTTTCTTCAATTATGTAGCACGTTTCATCAAACAGAAAGCGCGAATCAGGAAGCGCCGGAAGTATTCAAACAGCATGCGATGTCCCATGCGACTCAGTATCAGCTATCGAGAAGGACGCAGGGATAGTCGACAGGATATCCGTGTGATTTTCCGTTCGTGGAAGGGTGCTGTCATACTTTTTCCAAAAGACCCCAACTCGAAGCAGATCCTGTGCCAACAAGGACTTATGGATTGAAGCAGACCATGGGAGAAGTACGGACCTTTTCAGTACCGAAGATGACCGCGACGCTAGGTGGGACTACCATTGCGATTGGGATCATAAACATGTTAATCAGAGCTTCGAAATTAGATGTACTTACATACACCAAGCACGAGGTCGAACTCGATTCCGCGCGGGCGCTTGCATGTCACAGTGTAGGCAAGGGCAACGCTAGCATTGAAATGAAAAAACGCCTGAGTTATTAGAACCATAGCACGTACGCGACACTGCCCATGCAGAGGATAGCGATAACAACTACCCGTATTGCTCTGGTGACCGATTGACTGAACCCACTGCGCAACCCCTCCCTGTTTCGGTAAAGCAAAACACCAATGACAACTGCAAAAAACATACAGGACGTTGAGTAGACAATGATGCGCTACTCACCCGCTTCGACAACCAGGATAAAAGTAGTCAAGGTTGCCCAGATAGGAGTCAATCGAGGCCTTACAGGTGCATTAGCGTTAGACACTCAGTCACTAATGGCAGGGGACTGACAATGATGTCCCAGTCAAGGTGCAGTAGGTTTGATTTGAGGAGAGTACTACGAGTCGAGGAGGTTGGCGAAATCCAAACTATAATCTGTGATTGGATTGTGGAGGTGCGGTGGACAATCTGAAGACTCACGACCAAAAGCCCGATGAAAATGGCGATCCAAATGATCCAGGGTGTGATTACGAGCTACAGTAAAGCGTTCTTGAGGTCGGCGATACTTGTTTTATGTTGAATGAACTGACCGCTATCGAGCCAGAAAGCAGCCTCCTTTTCTCTGTAGTTCTAGGACTTGAAAGGGCCAGCTGGACGTTGCGCAATAACTGAAAGCAGGAGTCAGGAATATGTAGGGTGGTGATATGGCTCGTTCTTCTCACATGAGTGGCGAGGCAGACAGTAGCGGAGGTTGCCCTGGTTGCTCTTCGTCAGCAAGAGGACATGCTAGTAAATGATGTGACGTACAGAGGTGGGGCAGCATATACAAGGGCAGATTGTACGATGCACAGATTGTGACCTGGTGCGCCCTGCTGACCAACGAAGGTTAACAATGCGTACGAGACGCAGAACACAATCCAGGAAAAACAGAAACTAAAGAAGGCCGAGTGGCGACTCCCACCACGGCGTTGCGCCACAAACGCTGCGATTGTTATGAGGACAAATAGGACAGCGCCAAGAATTTGTAGCGTAATGAAGGCCTCAACGCCGCGGTTATCTCGGCCAGTATTAGATTCTACGATGAAAAACAGAGACAGCAAGTGGCGGAATCAACGACAGATCAACGCGCTTACTGTCAAAATGGAGCGAATGTACTTACGCCTGTCCATTGATAGCACCAATTATGGGTTATGAAAAGTGCACTGTGATTATGT